TTTCAACACGTTTTCCATGTCAGCAGGATTCTGCTTGTTAAGAAACTTTTCATACACAAACATTCATTTAGTGTTTCTCAGACATTCATTCATACACTATTTGTAGTTTGGTGGATGAGTTTAGATGAATAAACACACGATGCATCCTGTGCTGAAAAAAACCAGACACAAATCAAGTTCAGCATTTAATAACTGTCATTTCTATAGGACAAAATTGACAACCTCAGTTAGAACTGCATCCATTTAAAATATTAGATACATTAGTTACCTAGCACTACAAATAATGCAGCCTTAACCAGATCAACCACAGAGTACTGAATAACATTCAGTCATTCTCTTGTAGTTGGATCATCTACAGCTAGCAGAGGCCAAGAAACATTTTGGTGGGTAAAGCCCTGGTCTCATTCCACCCTGGAACAACTGCTCCCAAAACAGTTTCTTGGCAAAAAGGCAGAGATGTAAAAGGGAAAAATCTCAAATTTATGAGGGTTCCAATTAACCCATTCCTGGTGATATCCCAGTGACCAATTGTCACAAACAAGACCAATATAAAGGGAACATTGACAACACTGTCAACAATCAGGTGACAGTTAAAAAGTGAGCATCTCTGATTAGTGATTAATGTGTTACATTAATGATAAAACTGGAATGTAGACATACCCATACCTTATCAGGATGATTCAGGAGTGTTTGTGTTGGTTCAACACCATTTTAATGTGGTACAGGTGAATCTTCGCATGCCCTGCTCTCTATATCTCTCATACCTTCTACGCAATTGTATATTCTGAGACAGAAATTACTTGTGATGTTACTCATTGCATGAGGCTTACTGTCCATACAGATATTAAAAAGAGTGTTCAGAGGGTCCTCCTATATCTCTACATGTTTTCAGTATTAAAAATCTGGTGAGCTGCATGCTGTATGCATCTCAGTATATTTTCTTCTATGGTGAGAACTACTTCATTTATTACTTTTTATGTAATGCCACTGACCTACAAAAGGTTGCTATAATCAAGGCTTTGAGGAGTACAGTTGCCGTTGGTAATTGAAAATTGAAAATGGTACTGAATGTCCTAGACTCTTTCTATTTCAGCATCTTTTATCTCCTGCGAGAAGCAGGGAAATGTACCTCCTGTTTGTGTTCCAAGCAGTGGCAATCGAAGTAGGGAAAGGAATAGGCAAACAGAATATATAGTCTGTGGAGGAAATTTTTATTTTGATCAGCTTCTGTTGCCTATGTGAAATGGATTCATTTTTTTCTTGGGACGTTCTAGTCCACTGGCTGGCAGAACAGCAGCCTTAGGATATTGCTCCCACATGTATGTCAGAGTTACAAATGTCTCTCCCTGGCGTTCTTCCTAAATATCCAACAACAAGTACACATGCAAACACGGGCTTGCACACTCACACGTGTACAGGCAAATTCATGCAGACTTGTCGCCACACATATGTAATCAGTCGTTTATACCATACGCATATGTAAACATGTATGGAATCATCTTGCACACTCAGGACAGTAAATAAATAAATAGCATCTACCAGATTTGCCTTGAAAGCAGGTATCGCAGACAGTGGCTCATTCCATTCCAGAAATGTAGTGTTATGTAGAGGCGCAATTTTAATTTCTGTTTTTCTCTCTCAGTCAGGATCTTGAACTTGAATTGCATCTCAAAATAATTTATGCCAATAAAACAGTCCAACATGAGAGTTCTCATATTCCATTGTAAAATACTGAGGCTAAAGGAAAAAATATACAGCAAGCAATTTAAATGTTTGCTCTTTTCTGATTGCCTTTGTCAACTTTGCTTTGTGCACCATTTCTCTTCTCTCTCATCCAGCTCTATTTTTTTTTAGATTAATTTATTCATTTGAAAATCAGAGTTACAGAGGGGGACACACACACACACACACATGCACACACGCACACACATGGAGAAAAAAAGAGAGATCTTCCATTATTTGGTTTACTCTCCAGATGGCCTCAACGGGCAGGAATGAGCCAGACTGAAGCCAGGAGTGTCATGTGGGTGCAATGTTCCAAGCACATAGGCCGTCTTCCACTGCTTTTCAAAGGTCATTAGCAGGGGGCTGAACCACAAGTGGAACTTCCGGTGCCCATGTGTGTGAGCACCATTGGCAGCACCATAGGCTGTAACTCTGGTTCGTCTCATCCAGCTCTTGAAAGTAGTTGCTACCCTCCCACATTTTCACTCAGTGTCACTAGCACCACATCCACTAGATAGACAGTTCCCCCATGATGTCAGGGAGCTTCTCCATAGTAATATCATCAGGACTAATTACATTGGGAGTCATGACTTTGAAAGAGCTTATCTGAAAGAATTAGCAGTCAGTGCCTCTACATCTCATCACAAAAAAACTCTAAGAACCAAGTTAAAACAGTCATGGATACGTAGAGTCAGGTCTATTAGTGTTCCTTCTGAAGTAATCACTTTTCATAAAAATAGCAATGTGTTGTAAGTGGCTGTGATAGTTTCCCAGAAGAGGCTGATAGAGAGTCAGGATATTTTTGCTTCAGTCACCTTTCAGGGACCCCACGGTTAACCTGAAGAGTTTGTCTAGCTCCTATTCCTTGATGCACCAAAACTTCCAAGTTTTGCTACTGGGGAGTTTGTTCAGCATGATGAATGTGCACTATTAGGCTTACCATTTCTGTCTCCCCAAGTTGCGATTGCATTCATGGGTCTTCTAGTAACACAAGGATGCTTGAGATTGACCTTTGATTTTGGAAACCCTTTGTAAATTAAATATTATCAAATCTTTCTCTGTGATTAATGATACAAATATTTTCCTTCACCATGTAACATTTTTGCCCCCAGTGTTCCTCATGGTATTTTTTGAATCCAAAATTTTTGTTTATAAAGTCAAATATTTTGAGGAATGGCACCATTGGCTAATTCTCTGCCTACAAGCACCGGCATCCCATATGGGCACTGGTTTTATATCTCAGCTTCCCATTTGGGCTCCTTGATTACAGCCTTGGAAAACAGCAAAGGATGGCCCAAATCCTTGGGATCCTGCATATGTGTGAGTGACCTAGAAGAAACGCCTGGCTCCTGGCTTAGAATCAACTCAGCCTCTGATCACTGCAGCCATGTAGGGAGTGAACCAACAAATGGAAGGCCTTTTTGTTGTCTCTCCTTCTCTCTGTAAACATGTCTTTCCAATAAAAATAAATCTTTTTTTAAAAGTCCCTCTTTCCTTATAACTACTGTATTTTAAGACTTAGAAAAATTTTCCTGCTTCCAGGCCTAGAAGCCATCAATTATTTCTTCTGTGATTCTGTGTTCAAGGAGTATGTCAATGAGCAGTTGAAAAGTGGCATACTTTATAAAACTGGCAGAGAAAGGACATGATGTAGTGTTAATAAATCATGCTGTGAGGCTCAGGTTTGGTTTTCCTTTTCTCAGCATCACCTTCAGGAGTTAATGGAAATAACTCATGGACACAGTGCCTTTCATGTTGTTCTTAAAAGATTGGAGAAACCACGAGTTTTTTCTTTTTTTCCTTCCTTGTGTAAGCCTTTCCCTGGTTCCTCTCATAGTCAATGTTACTCCATAATTGTAGTTCCCAGATACACACATTTACCTCGTAACTGTCAGACAGCTTGTTGACAGCTGCGCTTAAGTGATCTTACACTGGAGACCTCCTATCTACAACCATTCCGTTTGTGTTTCCCTATTCTGGTTGGGTTCTAAGATTTCAGTTACTTGCCTTTCCACTGTCTTTTTACGCAGACTCAGAGTTCTGTCATTTTTTTAATCTTACCCTTTGGAAAAAAAAAACTTTCTGTTTATTAATTTGAAAATCAGAGGAAAAGACATAGACAGCAGGAGACATTCAAACAAGGTCTCCCAAAGCGCACAGGAAGCAGAACCTGCTGCCTTGCAGAGCACGTGTGGCCGGGATGCTGGGGTTAGGACCTGGGGTTAGGACCTGGGGTTAGGACCTTGCAGGAGGAGAACTGGAGCTTTTCCTTTCTCTCTTCATCCTCACCAAGGGAGACACAAAGCTTAACATACTCTGAACTCAACCACCACTCATGTAATAAAAAGGAATCCAATCATCTGCCTTAAACACAGACATGATTTAAAAAAGCTTCAGTCTGATAGTTTCTAGCACTTTGCCTGTGTCTGCATTTGTATTTACAAATGACCTGTCTCTTCAAAATGGAAATGTGTGATGGATATTTAAGCAGGAAGAGAGTATTATCCTTCTGAACATCTGGAAAATTTCTTTCTCTTTCTCTCTCTCCCTCTCTCTTTCTTTCTCTCTTTCCCTGTATCTGTATGTGAAACAGCCCCTAGTACTACTCCACTTAAGCATGTTATACAGGTTCAGCTATGACAAGTGGATAACATGTCTTTGAAAGCAATGGAAATAGAGACTAACTACAATGGAAATCAACTTAAACCTGATTTCTCAGCAATCCAAAATGGCAGCACCTGAGAAGGTTTCCCCAGGCGGCAAAGAAGCCAATCATTTGTGTTTAAACAATAAAAAGAAAACTCACACTGTCAAGAGAATAAATCTTTCAGCTATCAGGTGTGCCTAAGGCAAGATAGATTTTCTTTCTCTCTCCCTTTTTCCCTTCAAAGGTTGAACACACACACACACGCACACACGCGCACACACACACACACACACACACACACACACACACACACACACCCCACAAACCCCTAAATTGAAATTGTAGGTTGTTCTGATTAAAGTAGTTTTTCTTATCATGGTACCAGATTTCTAATTTAAAAGATTGCATATGTTCGTACATGATTACCTCACAAATTAAAGCCAGTCAAAGAAACAGCATAACACACACAAAGAGGTTGGCCTATTATTTCTTCCTTTCACCTTTTCTACAGGAAAAACTTGAACTTCAGGAGTCTGCCTAAATTGAAAGTGTAGTAGAGGATGACAGAGCCCATGGCACGCTGGCCAGATCATTCTCTATGATAAGGAGTGTTCTTTCTCTCTTTCAGCTCAAGATGAGGATACACCTAGGGTGTCTGTGACAAGTGAAGCCTCCCGTGACGCAGAGAACGCCACACGTCCTGAGGGTAAGGTTCTGAAGTAGCTGAACTCAGGAAATCCTTACATTGCGGACACTTCTGCGAGTTTCGACTAGAATTGAAGGAATTTTTTTTAAGGATTAATATACTTTAAACAAGGTATATTTCAAAAGCTAGCTTCCGGGAGCTGATAGGAATAGCAGCCTCTTTTTAATTTAACTGATGCTATGCGTTTTAATATACCATGTGTCTCAGTTTAGACAAATCTTACTCTATTGAGACCACAGTGGGTCATTCCAAGTCTGAAGTGACATGAAGTCTCCTAGGTGAACTTTGGAAATTTCACTTACTTCTGCTTCTTGCCCTATTGCAGTCCCCAGTCCACTCCACAGTCAGAAGTGCCCTGGCCTGAATTTGAACTAACAGCACAGTAGGATCTGTATCACTTCATATCAATTTATCACATCATATTCCTTGGCCAAAGCATAAAGTCACTTCAAAATAGATTTACAAAAATTGTTAATGATGCACAAGTACTTTTGAAGGCATTAAAATATTCTGAGCTTTAAAAACATTAATGCTCTCTTGCCCTAGAAAATGAATCTGAGAATCCTATGAAATACCATTACCCGAATTAGAAAACCAACTCTTTTGGGCACATATGATTTAATAAACATGTATTCCTCTGGCTCATAAAGCTTAGGAAATCCAGAATCAGGCAAGTGATCTACTGTATGTATATCTTGCAATTTGGGTCATTTTAGCCACACTAAGATGGGTTAACTTAAAATAACTATGTAGATTGGAATGGACAGTGTACAAATGATTCTATTTGCATAGATAAAATTACTTCAGGGTCAGTTTGCTTATGGTGGCTGAAACCTCACATATTTTTAGAAATTTAAGGTAGTGTTCAGGTGAGATAAGATTTTTTTAAAATTAGCTTATTTGTTTGTTTGCTTGTTTATCTATTTATTTAATGATACAGTTTCAGAGACTCTAGGATATTCTCTCCTCACTCCCCAAATCCTTTCCCCTCCACTAATTTTCCCCTATATTATTACAATAGTTTAGTCCTTCAACAATAGTCACAAGCACTGCTATTAGAGTGAATCCTGACATTGCAGGTATGGACAATGGCAGCGAGTCCAGTATCCTATTGTCAAGATATGTTTAGTAGGTTCATTGGGAGTCTATCTTTGATTTGAAAGTAGAGATGCATGCTGCATTGTATCTTCACATCTGGATAAGAAAGTCTCTATTATACAGCTAGTATAGATTCCCTTAAATGAAAAGGCATAAAGCAAAACCAGTTCTAGGGAAAAAAATAGTAAAATTTACAACAAGATGAAGTTACATAGCATGCTATTGAATAAACAAAGTGCTATTGAAGAAAAAGAAAAACTTTGATAAAACTATGTTACTATATGACCTAAGTGTCACTGAAGAAATTAATAAGACAAAAGCGTTTTTGAAAACATGAAAATAAAACAATAATATCAAAACCTGATAAATGCAGCAAAAAAGTATTGAGAGGAACATTTATAACATCAGGTGCTTACAAAACAAAAGGAAATATCTCAATTAAATGATCTAGTAATTTATCTCAAAGACCAGCTGAAAAAGTAAAAAAAAAAAAAATGACAAGCAAGAAAAGATAAAAACCACAGCACAAATAAGTGAAATTAAAACTAAAAGACAATAAATTGCAACAAGAGCCATTTTCTTCAAGAAGACGAACAAAATATACTTCTAGCCAGACTAGATAAGAAAAGCAAATGAGAAAAAAACAAGCAAAACTAGAGATTAAAAAAATAGTAATTATGTGGTGTCCTTTTTCCTCTCAATAGTTTTCATGTCAAAGTCTATAACTCTTATATTCAGCCTTTTAATAGTATCTTTTAACACTTGAATACATTTTCTTTTAGCTTGACTCAGTTCCTCTTCTAGTTTTTTGTTTGTTTCCCCATTCTTGAAGGAAACATTTTCCAGTTCTGAGATTCTTCCTTCTGTCTCACTCACTCTGTTAGTGAGGCTTCCCACTGAATTTTTAGCTTTCTGCTTTGTGTCCTTCATTTCTGATAATTGGGTTTGATTTTGTTTCAGTATTGCTATTTCCTGTGTGACATATTCCTTAAATTCCTTGAACCTCTGCATGTACTTTTCATTGTTGTTAGGCATTATAGCAAGTTTTTAAAATTCTCTATCCCCTATTTCGGCATTGTCTTCCTCAGTTGACTCTGAGGTTAATAAAGGCTTTTGTTCCTTCATGGGGAAGGCATCAGTAATATTCATTGTGCCTCTGTCTCTTCTTTCATTCTTGGTCATTACTATTGTGATTAGCAGATTCCTCTCCTTATGGCTAGTTTCTAAGCTGTGTTGCCCACTGGTCTACAGGTTAATTTTACTGATTGCATTTGCTACCCAGTTCTTTGCACTTACTTGTGCCACTCTCCCCAGTGAGTTTCAGTCCCGGGCTCTTGTGCTAGACTTCCATCATGGTCTTCATAGCCCTAATTCCTGGTCATAACTTTCTACTCCCTGTAATCCAGTGCTGTGGCCTCATTGTTGTTGCCCACACCACCTCTTCCCACTCCTGGTTTGAGCAGTGCCTAGGATTAGGGAGATGCCAGCTGTCATAAATCACTGGGTTATCAGTTGTGCTGCTCTTGCAGGAGTCTGCCGGACATATCCTGGGTGGAACCCGTAGGATGCCAAGTGGTACTACTTTCCCTGTGAGAGCAGTGTGATTCATCAAGCTGGATGTGAGCGCACTCCTGGCTTAGCACATGCACAACTCCCTGATGTCCCTCCAGCGCCCACAGCCTTTTCCTCAGTACACAAAATGGCACCAGTGCGGCACTGGCAAATATCTGAGCCATCCACCCTCTTTCTTGCACCTGGCTATTTGGGTTCTGCCACTGTGCTTCTGCTTGTGGTTGAATCAAGCAAATCAGCAAGATCGGCAGTTTTATGCCTTGGTTCATTTCCTGAGCTTCCAGTGAACTCTCTCCTTCCTGCCTGGCTGCTGGAGAGGCTCCAATCAATGACTGAGGATTGCTGCTGTTGTGTCCGGTCACCGCAATGTGGCTCTGTTGTCTTTGATGCTTTGCCTGTCCACAGGTCTCCAAATGTCCCTCTGTCATCATTCTGTCCTCTCCTATTTCTCAGGATCACAGCCTCTCTGCTTCACCCTGGCTAATGATTCTCCATCTGTTTAAACATGCCCTTACCCTATTCCATCATCTTGTTTCTTCTCAATATCTGCTTTTAACGCCTTCCTCATTGAGAGAACGTTGGATGGAATTGTACACACTGATATCCCCTCTTCGAAGCCACTTTTGAGGATGCAATAAGCATGTGCCACTATTTTACTATAGTCAAGCTTTCATGTTCAAATATATAGTCAATGCTTTTATGAAAAAGGCATTTAGATGGCTGGTTCTGTGCAAATCAATGAAAGCACTCAGATGTGAATAAACAGAAGTTATTTATTCAGAGGTTACTATAGTACTGGTATTACCAGCCAGTATCACTGGTTTTTGGCAGACTCAGTAGCAGGCAGGGGCATGGGAAACCTTTCTAGATAACAAAATGGAAGACTTCTGGCATTCTGGGGTTGCAAGCTGTTGGCACAGGGGAAGCTGGCAACTGCTAACCAGAGTGAAACATCTTGAGTGACTGGTTCTACAATTGGTCCCCGGGTTGGAAGGAAGCAGAAACAAACAATGGGGCAGCTGACAGTCACTGACCAAGTCCTGACCATCTGAGCCAATTCCTACAGAGACCATCATTTGATTGCTAGAGGGATTTGGAGTCCGAGTTTGATTGTTACACGTGATCTGGCCTTTGTCCACTGGTACATTCAATCTCTCAGTTTATAATGTGGGCTTTGGTGCTCTAAAAATATCAATCTCATTAAACCTGCTGACCCTTGGAAATTTACAAAATGACTACTATGCCTGCTCTGGGCTACTTCTGGAGAAGGGCAGTAATTATGCCTTCTGCTTTTATGCAAATACTTGCCTAGAACACACATAGTCAAGTAAAAGCAAACATCGTATCATGGTTGTATAATCTGGTTAGAGGTTTTGCTTTTTCATTTCATTTGGTCTACTGCTGCTCAACCACTGTCAAGTTCTCAGGTCTGTTTTGAATTTTGAAATTGAAAACATGGCAAACGAAACAGGCCTATTGACACTGCCATTTCGGAGGGAGGCTGCTTACCTCCCTGAATGTCAATGAGCTGTTTTGCTTTGTTTCTCCCTTTATTTTCACAGCTATCTACTAAGGCTTTTGAAAGTATCAAAGGATGGAAAAATGTACATCCCAACTGCCCCCCAAAGCTCTGTTATGAAATGAAAACTTTATAGATGAGACAAAAGATGTCCAGCCAGTATCCACCAGTAAGAATTTCTAAGCATGATCTTCAAATATTGAAGGAGTGAAAGAAAACTGGAAGAAGGCATAGCTTAGAAAAATCACAAGACTCTCAAATGTATTTAAGATAATTAGGTTTGATAAATATTTAACCTTTTCTATTTTCCTTTCTGGTTACAGTTGAAATGAATAGTCAGGCTGACAGTGTAAACGACCCCACGGAGTGTCAGCCAGAAGACTGACTGGTAAGATGCCCCTGTGGCAGAATTTCAAATTGATTAACTGGCTGCTGTAACTGTTTGCAAATGACATACTGAGTTTCCTTCGGTTTAACATTTTCCCACAGCATGACTTAGGTTAACTTGTAAATCTTTAAAGAAAACCATAGAGAAAGGAGGATTAACTCATAAACTTGCCATCTTTTTCATTTTAATTGATTGCAAAGCAAAGGAATAGAGCAAACACTCCCATGAACTGGTTCACTCCTTCAAATGCTTGCAATAACTGGAACAAGGCTGGACTAACCCCAGGAGTCAGAAATGTAATGTAGGTCACTCATATGAAGTGACGGGTACCCGGCTACTTGAGCCTTCACTTCCTGCCTTCTGGGGTCTACATTAGTAGAGTCTTCAATCAGGTCTGAAGCTGATATTAAAATCCAGGTAGGCACAGCACCACACAGACCTTCAAATCACCTCTCATCAGCTAAATCCAATGCCTGACCAGAAGCTTGCCACCTTATAAGGGGAAAAGCTAAATCCACAGCATATTCAAATTATACACTACCATGCTTTTCTGTGTTTGACAACTAGAAAACCATTTTTCCATCTGTCTCACCCCCTGGCCTCCTGGAGTGATCAAATTATTTCAACTACTCTAAGCTGATTCTGAAGCATTGCTTTTCCAGAAGTTACCTTCTGCATTATTTAGTGGATCTGTTTTTAAGTGTAACACTAAATCTTAGCCTTGCAAAATGTGTAAGGCACATGAGTGCCTGGACAAAATCAAGCCTTCTGTCCTATCCCTGCTACCCATGCACCTAAGCATCTACACGAAGGTTTATGGAGGTGAGTCAGCCTCTAGGAATTCCCCAGTGAAGGTAAAAAGTCTGAATCAAACCAGATGTAGGAGCTTTGCCAGGCCAACAGTCTCAATCTACTTGGATACGATAAAGTGGTATCCAAAATGATGAACAGTCTGTAACCCTATTCTATATCATGATGGCTAGTAAGCCGAATTAGAAGAAAGCAGCCATTCTCATTCTTATAAACTGTTCCAATTCCTAGCCTAAAGTATTTAGTTTGAGAAACACAGTATTGCGGAATGACTATATTGTGAGTCCTGCAATGTATGACACTAATGATGTGTTGACACTGCTGCAGAGAAGCACCTGCCTCGACCCCAGCATCTTCCTTGTAAGTCTCTGCACTCTCCAGGCACCACCCACACGAGACCCTTGCACCGATGTCACAGCAAGGCAAAGGTTGAAAACCTGTGAAAGGAAACATCTGCACCTCCCACAATGGTTTCACCAACATTCAAAACTAAATTCAAATCCAGCTGTGTAAGGCGCACGCAGCATAAAACTGATGAGAAAAAAAGAAGGACAGATAGCATAGCAGTTTAGATGCCCATGACTTGTATCAGTGTGCCTGGTTAGATCCCCAGTTATGGTTCTGGAGTACAGTTTCTGCTAATGTGTATCTTTGGAGGCAACGGGGCTCCAGTGGCTGGGGCCCCTCCTCCCACACGATACAGCTAGATGGATTTCTCCATCTACTGGCTGGGCCATTGCAGGCATGTGGAACCAGCAGATGAATCTTTCACTGTGTCAAATAAATAAGTATATTTTAAAATGTGCTTATACAAATGTGATCTTATAAATATTTCCTCTTTTTTTTAAACCCTGTTCATGTATTTTTAAGATTCTGGTAAGCTGCTGAAATGACAGATGATATAACTGAGATGTTTCCATTAAAAATGATAAATGAAGACTAATCCTCAACAATACAAATGCAAGCCCTTGACTTCTTGCTCTCTTGATGCCAAAAATCTATAGATACCCTGTTTAGATATTTTTCTTAGTTTCACGTTTTTTACGGTGGGTCCTTTCTAGATGAAGTACTAGAGTAAATATTTTTCTTTAGTTACTATCAAAATTACACTCTCCCAGACATAGCTTCTCCGTTAACCCAAAGGAATAAATGATTGAATTAAAGTCTACCATTAGCTTAAGGAAACTGAATTCCAGGATAGGAAAGTGACTTGTATAATGACTAATATGGAGAATAGTAAATATTCCCAATTCAAAAAATCTTGGATGATATTATATCCAATCTATAAACTATAGTATTTATCACAGGGACAGCATATCCTGTTCCATACTGGTCCTACTGAGGGATTTACACAGTTGGGTTTACAGAGAATATTTAGCAGTTAAATCTAAAGAATAAAGATCTAGTAATGAGAATTATATCTTTAAGAATATTAAAGAAGGAAAATGAAACGGTATTAGAATTTCAGCATTCAAAGATACAACGTAAGAATATTTATAGCTATGTAATTGAAAACTGAAAAGAAAATCAGTGGTACCAGATAATAAACAACAATAGCGCAGGCGATCAGAGGAAGACTTGGCAAGTGCAAAAATATTTTCACCTTGGGCCCTGTGCGGTGGTGCAGTGGTTAAGGTCCTCACCTTGCACGCCCAGGATCCCATATGGGCGCCGGTTCTAATCCCGGCAGCCCCGCGCTTCCCATCCAGCTCCCTGCCTGTGGCCCAGGAGAACAGTGGAGGACGCCCAAAGCTTTGGGATCCTGCACCCACGTGGGAGACCCGGAGGAGGCTCCTGGCTTAGGATCGGCATAGCATTGGCCGTTGTGCTCACTTGGGGAGTGAATCATCGGGCGGAAGATCTTCCTCCCTGTCTCTCCTCTCTGTATATCTGCCTTTCCAATAAAAAATTAAATAAATTTAAAAAAAATATTTTCACCAATTAGTAATTGTGGAATCCGAGTCATTGGGTCTGGCTGGACATAGCTTGCAGATGGAACTTCAAGAAGTTGATTCACCTCCAGGTCTGTACTTGCAGATGCTTGCTCCTAGACACCTGATACAAATCACAGGCTATTCACAGAGGATGAGGGAGACCATGTAGAAAGACGTCCTAGAAACCGTTTCGGATGCTCTGGCCTCAGCAGCTAGTCACTGAAGCAGATGAACTACTCAGCTGAATCCAGGCTGATGATAGACTCATGAGAAATAATAAATTATTGAAGTTTAAGCCACTAAATTTGGGGCTTCAGACTATGACTCGGAGATAGGCTCTATGGCTAGGGACTTGGGTTTTAAAGCTCACCAGGGACCTTGAGCCACCACTCAAGGTAAAGTGTTAGAACTGATACCTCTGCATAAATAAGTCTGGGACTCCCAGCTCAAGAAATTAACAAGATTTGTGTCAGCATAGGGTACTGCACACAGAAGAAAAGAGCTCCCTGGGCAAATAGAAACCCCAAATGCACCATGAGTTTGAAATACAAATTTATACCATCCAAAGTTATGCAGTAATACACAAAGATGCACTAAAATATAAACTAGTACACAAAGAATAAACTGAAAAATGAACTCACTAAAAGATTACATTCCTATGTAAAATGCTCAGTGTGAGTTCACAGTTTTAAACCTTCTAAACACACAAGGAAATGAGCTATCCTGGGTGGGTTTATATGTGACACCTAAGATGATCAGCAACATGAGAATTTTAGAGGATAAAAACGTTGAAGACTTTATAAAATACAGACCAGATAAAAGCAGACATAAAGGAATAAGAAGGGGCAGGCATTTGGCATAACATTTGAGATGCCTGCATCCTATATTGAAGTGACTATAATCTTGGCCCCACTGCCAAAGCTAATTTCATGTTAATGTAGATTCCAGGAGGTAGCAGGTAGTGGCTTCAATAGTTGGGTCTCTCCCACCCAAAGGGGAGACATGCCAGGCCCAAACACCCACTTTGCAAACATTTAGAGGTGTTAACCATTGGATGGAAGCACTTCTATGCACACACCCAACCTCTCAAATAAAAACACATATATATGAAAAGTACAACACTATAAAAAATGAATAACCTGGCCAAAGCCAGAATGTAAGAACATTTTTTAAAAAACACATGAAGAGACATGAGAGAAAGAGAATATCCAAGACATGCTATGTTCAATAAGAGCTCTAAAGGTGCGTGTGGATCATTAATATTTGAAAGAAAGTGGCTTAGAATTGATCAGAGTTTATAAAAGCAGTGTATCTTAAGTTAAAAGAAGTGCAATAGCCATAAAAAAGATATACTTGAATCCACACTGAAACACCACAAAAAACCAATGATCAAGAGAAAATGTAAAGCAATCAGAAAGAAAAGATTCTCTACAAAGAAAGAAGTAACAGTCTTCTCACCATCAAATTAGGGCAAAACACAACGGAATCAGGCTGAGACTTCAAAACCTCAAGAAACTAATTTTCGATGAAAATTTTCTACCAGCTCCAATATCATTTAAGCAATTATATATATATCATTGTCAGGAAAAACTGTTTGCTACTCATATATTCTACTTTATACAACAATAAGAAAAATTTAAACCTCGAGGGAATAGGGCACATGCATATTGAGAGCCAAAAATGATAAACTCAACAGGAATCCAAATAGAACATGAAGGTTATAGTACAACCGTTTTTCTGTGAACTACTAACCATGTTCCTGTGGCCTAGATCCCCAGTGGGTACCTACAAATGTGGATAGTACTGAATCTTGTATATATTCTGCTTTTTCCTACATAGCCTTCAGCCTTGCTGCATAGAAGCAGAATCAGTCTGCCCATTTGTGTCCTATGCCTTGATGCCTCTTCCATCACTATTGTTGTTCTTTGTGGTGGTCAGTAACTAAATTCAAAAAAAAAGATTATTTGAACATTAACACTGTGATACAAGTAATTGCCAAGGGTTACTGCCTAATTAATGGTCAGAGAGCTTACACACTGTTGATGAAGTGGACAAAGGGAAGATTTCCATCCCCTGAAGAGGGAAAGAATGGCTGAGATATCACCATGTTGTTTACAGTGGCGTGTAATTTAAAGCATTTGAATTATTTCTGGAATTTTCTATTTAATATTTTCAGACTATGACAGACCATTAGTAACCAAAACAATGGAAAATGAAATTATGGATAGGGAAGGAATATTCTGATAATTCATG